GCGGGCCCTCACTCTGGGCACCCTCACCACCCAGCTCTCTCTACTCAATGCTTATTACCATGCTACCTACCCAGCAACAAGCTGCATTGTACATCCAATGCAATATGTATACAATGAGCACATTGTGAGTTTCCTTTCTCCATCCCATCCTGAGTGTGAACCCATATCCCATACCCCTACAAATGGTGACCCCCCGGAGATTCGCACTCACACAAGATGGAGGGGAAACTGATCACTCTCCCAGTCTTCAAGCAACATGGAAGACTGGCTTATCCACACAGAAGCAGCTCTCATCGGCTCTACATCTACTGTCTCTACACCACAGGTTAGACACCCTAGAGCAGCTCTGCTACTCTAAGCAGACACCAGCCCCTCTTCCTGCCCCAAGCACCACGTCCTACCGACCCCAACACACCCTTCTTGCCTCAGACGCCGCCCCCGGCCCTGCAGTACCCCCTGCCGCTCCTCCTGACACGGCCCCTGCTCCTGACGCAGACCCACACACCCCTCTTTTCTCCCTCAGGTATCCCCTGCTACTGTCCTGCACCCTGCTGCTGTCATGCACCCTGCTGCTGTCATGGACACTCTTCCTAATGCAGCCCCTGCTCCTGACCCAGGCCCACACACCCCAGCAGGCACATCTGAGGACTCTGTACCTGTCGCGAGGGAAGCACAACATTCATCGCCTCCACAACCCTCCTTCTCCCTCTTTTCTCCCACAGATCTAGGGTGTCTAGACAGAGTTGCCCCCCTCCTAGCGGCTGGCACATCCACGCCCTCACCGTTATGTCCCACATGTGGCATGCACCACCCGTTCTGCCTCACATGTGGCACGCAACTCTGCCAACCTCCAGCCTCCCGCCACACCCAGAGGGGAAGGGGAGTATTGTAGTGGATTCCTCCCCTACAAGCACCGAACCTTCTCGAATTCCCCAGCCTACGCCTCCAGCGCCACCCACGGAGCGGGGGTCAACTATCTACCCACGCCTACCCCTGCCTTATAAGGCCTGACACTGCTGTGACCACCCTCTCTTTTCTACCCAGTGCCACCAGCAAGCAACACCCCCTCCTCCGCACCAGCCATGCGTCTGCCGCTTCCGCCAGCGACCTTGGCGTCCCTCAAGCCGCGTGCCCTCACTCTGGGCACCCTCACCACCCAGCTCTCTCTACTCAATGCTTATTACCATGCTACCTACCCAGCAACAAGCTGCATTGTACATCCAATACAATATGTATACAGTGAGCACATTGTGAGTTTCCTTTCTCCATCCCATCCTGAGTGTGAGCCAATATCACATACCCCTACAATACATCCACAAAGAGGCGAAAACAATGCCAGGATTCAAGGCATTCAAGGACAGAATTACACTTCTGTTGGGGGTAATGTTGCTGGTTTCAAGCTAAAGCCCTTCATGATCTATCATTCAGAGAACCCCAGGGCTTTTAAACATGTCAGCAAGCACACACTGCCAGTGTTTTATCGCAGTAACAAGAAAGCCTGGACGACCATTGTACTGTTTGAAGATTGGTTCATGAATTGTTTCATTCCTCGAGCCAAGGAGTATTGTCTGTAACAACGGATTCCATTCAAGATTTTGCTGATTTTGGATAATGCTCCGGGACACCCACCACACCTGGACGACATGCACCCTGATGTTAAGGGAGTGTACATTCCACCTAACACTACCTCTGTCATCCAACCCATGGATCAAGGTGCTAATGCTGCCTTTAAAGCGTATTATTTACGTACGACCTTCGCTCAGGCTGTTGCTGCTACTGAAGGTGAGAAAACGTTCAGAGAGTTTTGGAAGGAGTACAACATTTTGTCATGTATAAAGAACATTAGTGCAGCATGGGATCAGGTTACAAAACATTGCATGAATGGAATATGGAAGAAAATCCTGAAAAGATATGTGAACAGTTTTAGAGGATTTAATGAAAATTAAGTCATTTCGGATATTAGTAACAAGTTAGTGGAGTTAGGTAAACAGCTTCAGTTAGAAATTGATATCGAAGATGTTGAACAGTTGGTTGAAAGTGTAGCAGAAGAGCTCAGTAACGAAGATCTCATCGAACTGGAAGCACACAAAGATGCAGAGGAAGAAGCCAGTCTAAATGTAGAAGAAGGACCTGCACCCCCCAAAAAGTTTTCAGTGAAGCAAATGGCAGAAGCATTTGCTACAATTAATAAAGGAATGCAAATGTTTGATGGCATGGATCAAAATTATGAGCATTATGCCAAAGTTGACAGAATGATCCAAGATGCACTTGCTTGCTACAGAGAAATTTACAATGTAAAGAAAAAGCAAACTGTGCAGTCTAAATTGGACATTTTAAGAAGTCCCCCAGTGCTGTCTCCTCACACCCACCAGTGCTGCCTCTTCACTCCCTCAAGATGATCCAATACCTTCAAGTTTCCACAGTACATAAACCTGTCTGAAGAAAGCGACATTGATGACCCACCCAGCCCTGTCTCCTCCTCTGCTTCATCCAATTAATATAGTCTCCATGTATACCTGTAAATAGAAAATTATGGGGGCCCCGTGTGCATTCAGCTGACTACATTAAAGATAAGTGCTCAGTCACACTGTATCCATTCCTCATTATTTATTACTTTTACTGTACTGTATTTCATTGTAGATTTTATGAGTTTTTTTTTAAACCTATGTCGGACTTACGACCATTCCAACTTACGACCTGGATTTGGGTCCCTAACCTCGTCGTAAGTTGGGGAGCACCTGTACTACAATGTGATTAGTTTCAAATAATGATGTTAGTAAATGCTGGTACAGTGCATCAGTGATCAGTGTGACCACTGGGCCGTGAGTGGAGAGCATGGCGTGGTTAAGTGCATGACCTACCTGAGCTCTTTGGGGCCACAGGTACAGTGATTCCTAATAGAGAATTCGCGGTTTTGGCTTTTCGCGGGGGTTTCAGGAGCATAATTCCCGCAAAAAACACAAGATTACTGTACTGTAATAGTAATAGATGACAACTTAAGTAATAATCATAGTAATACTGTATAGTAAAACAAATTTCGAAGTACAGTGAAGCTTCCATATATCGGACTTCTATCTCCATATAATCCGTAAGATGCGGATTTCATATGTAACAGACACTCGACATACAGTAACGGACTTTCATCTCTATATGGTTCATTAGATGGGGGTTTCACATCTAACAAGCTCTTGATATAATGGACTTTCATTTCCACATAGTCCATTAAATAGAGGTTTCACTGTAATAGTAACCCAGTAATATACCCTATGTTTGATTCCCAACTAGTGGGATATATATAATATATATATATATATATATATATATATATATATATATATATATATATATATATATATATATATATATATATATATATATATCCATCCATCCATCCATCCATACACACATATATATATATATATATATATATATATATATATATATATATATATATATATATATATATATATATATATATGCTGATAACCACAAGCAAACAAGAAAACATGATGTTCCCAAGCACTTTAGTGAAATTCACATCTTCAGGGGTGAGTACAAGGGGTAATACTTGACAAGGCTAATATTTACAGTGAACTATGGGGTGTAGAGGCCACTCATATCTCACTCTGATAAAGGACCAGCCCATGATCTGTGGAATTTGAGTCTAACAATGATTCATTTTCTAGCTCCTCATTTGAGGTTACAACATTGGAACTTTATACCCATCCCAGGTATTTGAAAGTGGTTCATTCGAGCCCTCACACCATGACAAAGTAAAACAAATTCAGGTCCTAGATGGAATGGTGCCTTGTGGGGGACATGTCCAAACAAACCAAACAAATCTTCATTAACATAAGACCAGATGCTTAAATCATGTTTTTGAGTTCATTCCTATTTGCCATGCTCCCCCAGTATATGTGCATTAAAACAAGCTTTATGTGAAGAACCCATATAAATACCGAATTAAGATGTACAATGGCGACCCTTAATGCAATCATTAAATGTCCATAAAGTAAGGAAGTTACAATATGCATGTGAAAATTTGCTACTTTAAGAGGCTTAACTTTTCTGAGAATTTCAACCTCAAGCTTTGTCAGTAGTCTAAAGCTGGCTCACAAATGGATTACAAATGTATTTTCTAATCTGTTTACACACAACAAGTTTAATTTCAAAAGATGGGCTCTAAGTATGAAGTCTTGATTAGTTTTATCTAAATGACGAAAGCATAATTAGTTAAACATGACCTTCATAAGATAAGTCAATATACCATTACCCGACGAGAGACCTAATCATAAACACATATCAAGCGTTATTGCTGTAGCTTGTCAGTCATTATTACTGATATTTAAAAACACCATTTGAGGATACTGTACTCGCTTCCTGCAGCGGGCATCAAGTGATGATTACAATAGTTTGCATTATTTCAATGTCTTCTTTTATTTAAACGTTACATCCATCGTGGTTTCAAATACATTTCTACAAATCAAATATCTTCCCCAAGTTTACTGAAAGTTTAAGCCATGGGAGAAATATGCAGAATCCTGGAGCTTCAGGACAGGGTGGCAAGTTTGCCCGCCAACCCGCCAGACCCCCCACCTATGTCTCTTGACTCCCATCCACATTCACTTTCACGAATCTACCTCATTAGTCACTTCTAAATATACTTAACACTATAAGCTTCAGTCTAATAAGAAGAACTGGACAAATATCTACGTGTAATTGAGATTTAAGTTTGTAAAACCAAGCAAATTATCCTTTGTGGGTTACGGGTTGGATGATGAAGGGCACCCCACAATGAAGTGGGTTTCGCTTGTATTTGTTCCTTATCAATTACAGTCCGACGGTAATTCTTGAAAAAACAAGTGCTACTTCATGCATAACGATGTTAAAAAACACACAACTCTCTAATTTTACATTTAATTTTAGATGGTAACTACCTAACATCCATCTGCCCAGGTTGGTATCCCGGGCTAGTCATGTTCTGTGCATCACCCACTTACCTTCTTAATTTGAGGCTTCTGGTCAGTATATCCATACATTCGTATCATATACAATTTGATAGTAAAGCATTCTATCATATATCCACGACAGAAGAATAAAATCCCAGTTTACCTTAATGTTATTGCTTCACACACTCAAGGCTCTAGCACCATGGATGAGACGGATCCACGGAAGACGAGCTGTGTAAGCTCTAGTCTACGCGGGCTCAGGAGCTAGCCGCCAAAATCAGCTGGGCGGAGTCACTGGACAACTCGGGCGCTGATTGGTGCTTTTCTTATAAACTGTCATGTAAACTCTTATGAAAAGGACTAGGGAATCTGGAATGTAAACATTGGATTTTATTCTTTCAAGTCAGTTTAAAATGCTTCATAAAATATATTAATAAATTTGTAAAAAAAAAAGTAATTTATGTATTCTTACCGGGTTTAAAACAACATTGTGGTGTAAAAGATAGAGGGTTATTTTGAGAGGCAGAGCACAATGACCCTCGTAACAATTGGAACTTCAACTAAAGTTGCCACCTTCTGATTGGCTATTTGATATGATGTAAAAGCGCGCCAAATATGAAAGCTTGAGTTCTTCAACCAGCTGATCGGATATGACATAAACATGGCGCTGGCTGGCATCGTCGCTCCAAGACCCCTTCCTCCGTAACGCGTCACCTAAAGGCGGGATAGGTTATCGTATATTAGTTTTGTTACCCTGTTTGTTACTGTCATTAAAACGCATTCTTTTAAAAATATTAATTATATAACATAAATATCTAGAACGCCTGTATCGATACAAAGCAGATAAACAGCGGCGGATATCATATAAGAAATAACCAGAAATAAGGAAAAACTCTCTGACAGTACCAAATACATCGTTTTCAAACGAGTTAATTTGATGAGCCATAAGAGTAAATAAATTTAAAACAGAAATTTAAATTATTTTTAATTAAACTCGGCCTTGTAAATCCCGACCGACATCTCTTTCTGGTTGGCAGTCAAAATGTGTAACATCGGTACCGGTAAGTGTTGAAATAAAAAGTGCATATTCTGTTCGATAACGTCAAACTTACTTTCAATTTAAGTCGAGGATAAAATGAATACTTGAGTTTGGTACGAAAGATAACAGTGGAAAGGCCCCCAGAGAAGCGGTGAGGGGAAGAGGTACAAACACGTCTCCCAGGGTGTCTTGGCGCGAAACCCCCCCTCTTACCCTACCTAGCCATCCTTCCCTCCCTCACACCCTCGTCCCCAATACCTTGGCTCTCCTTACAAAAGTTAGAAAGTGTAACGTATACCTTTCTACTCAACTTTTACTTTTATCCTCTTCGCCACTGTTCGGGTCGTTAGCCGCCTGGGCGGTCGGTCACGTCTGTTATGCACTTGGCAAGTACTGGGTAAAGGGCATGCTCTGGCTCCTCATTCAAGGTGATTTAATAAGTTTATTTTACTTAAATTCGTTTGGGTAAATTTACATGGTATTAAGCTCAATGGTGATGAGGATAGAAACAAAAGTACAGAATGAGGGTTTGGTACTCTCATTGTTGATGAGATATGGCCAACCATGACCCTACCTCTTAGGTCAGGTCTACTTTTTTTACTTTTATCCTCTTCACCACTGATCGGATCGTTAGCCGCCTGGGCGATCGGTCTCGTCTCTGTTACGCACTGTTGGCAAGTACTGGGCATGGACCGGCTCCTCAATGTACCTGAACCTGCTCCAGTGTTGGTCAAGTCTGGTCTTGAAAGAGCTTACACTCTGTGCCGTCACAACACTTTCTGGTAGATTGTTCCAAGAGTTCACAACTCTCACTCTGAAAAAAGTTTGCCCTCACAGTTTTCTGGACCTACAGCTTCTTCAATCTTGAGCTGTGACCCCTTGTAGGGCGAGCGTCCGCCAGCTCCAGGTAAGGATACTCGACTGAGTATTGCCCCTTGAGATACCTATGTACCTCAGTTAGGTCGCCCCTTGCCCGTCTGTAGTATAGGCTAGGCAAGTTCAGATGCTCCAATCTCTCGGGGTAGTTGAGGTGCCGAAGCGCAGGCACCAGTCTGGTGGCCCTCCTTTGAACATTTTCAACCAACTGACAGTCCCTAGTATATCTTGGGGACCAGGCGGGGTGACAGTACTCCAGATGGGGAAGCACTTCACTCTTGAAGATCGTTACGAAGGACGGACCGTCTAGATATCTGAATGACCTTCTTATAAGACCTAATAATTTATTTACCCGATTTACCTTCTTCTTGCAATGGCCCGAGAACTTCAGCTCATTGTGAACATTGGCATACACAGCTTTTAAGTTATATATATATATATATATATATATATATATATATATATATATATATATATATATATATGTTTGTGTGTTATATGAAGACCACATTTGCTGTAGGTAGTAGGCAGCTACCAAACAGGGAGGTACTACCGCTTGGAAAGATATTGGAAGCATAATGTATTGTCTAATGGTAGACCTGCTGCCATATGGCATCACGAAAATTGTGACCAAGTCCCAGGTTGTTGATCTAACTTTCTGCCTCATTTACACACAACTGCAGGGTCTCAATTGTTTCTCTTACCATTGACAACACAACATACATATATTGTTGCTCACTTTATATCTTCTTTTAAATTTTTTGCAATTCCTTATTATTATTATTATTATTATTATTATTATTATTATTATTATTATTATTATTATTATTATTATTATTATTATTATTATTATTATTATTATTATTATTATTATTATTATTATTATTATTATTATTACATTTTCGCCTCCAGGCCCCGATGTGGGTCAGTGACCTGTTCCCGGGTGGGCTAATCCCCGTAAAAAAAAATGGAGGGCAGTTTTCCCGCTTTTCCTTGGTGCAGCTGTAGACCAGAGGCCGGCCATTACACTACTTCACAATACCCCCCCCCCCCAACCCTCAGACCCCAGTGCAAACTTTTATGGATAATAAACTACTCTGATTAATATTCTTACATATTTTAGTTATAACAAAAATAACAAATAACAAAGAAAAATACTATAAAGATATGAAAGAACAGTAACCGATAATGTTACAGAGGTTGAAGCAGGTGAGGAGAGAATACAGTACACGCGCCAAGCGATCTCAGGTAAACTGCTGCAGCTTGCGGCCAATGTAAACAGATCTCTCCCCGTAGGATTAACGAAGAGTATTATCACTATAAAAAGTTCAAGAAATATGGTGTTGATAATAATAATAATAATAATAATAATAAGTAGCGTTAGCGGTTGCATCAGCGTTGGCGCTCAAAATAGATCACATTAAAATGTACACGGTTGTTTCCATTGGTACGGTTGCGTTAGCCTTAAGTATTTGCAGTACATGCAATTGTGTGTAAATGAGGCAGAATATCAGATCAGCAACTTGGGACTTGGTCACAATTTTTGTGATGCCATATGGCAGCAGGGTCTACATTATGCTTCCAAAATTTTCCCAGGCGGTAGTACCTCCCTGTTTGATAGCTGCCTACTACCTAGCTCAACGCAGAAATAACTGTAGTAGTTCTTAGCATTAATATTAGTCCGTTAATCCTACTTATCCTAGAAAGAAATAGAAGACAGTAACAGCGACAGTGAAAGTTGAGGTTAATGATAATTAAGTTTACATTCAAGTGTTTTCTCTTGAGACTTGAGTCCGGAGAATGAACTTTGTGGTGTAAACGATGAAATTAATGACAGAAGCAGTTATTGTCAAATTGGGATTGATGAATAAGTGTATAACTATTCGGTACACAGATAGAAGAAATGACGTGGCATTCAGTGTCAGTTTTTGCTCTTGCTCATATAACTATACAATAGTTTAATAAATCATTCTACATTGTTTGTGTTTTTTCTGTATTATTATTATTACACAAATAAAGGCACTCTGTATGAACTATTGGCTACTAAGATCAAGTCACGGACACCGTTCTCCACCCTAGGGTCAGTTATATAACTGGACAAGCAATATATTGGCGCGGTAAAAGTTCAGTGTTTACAGATTCACCATTTTCGGCAAGATTTAGCTTATATTTGCTACATCTAGCCAGAAAATATTACATCTAACCGATAGCCGAAAAAATAGCCGAAAACCCACAAGGTTTGGCCATTTTCTGGTCATTTTTTCAAATTAAATATTAATATGAATTTGTTTATTTCTATTCATTTCAGTTTTAAAGTTATTGAATACTCTGTAGTGGATTCCTCCCCTACAAACGCCGTGTGTCGCTGACTAGCCGAACCCCCGCGAATCTCCCAGCGTATCCCTCGTGGTCAAGGTCAGGTAACCAGCGACGCCGAACAAAGCGGGGGCCTACCATCAAGCCACGCCTACCCCCGCTATATAAGACCTCACCTGGCCGTCATCGACCTCTTTCTACTTACCGCCACCAGCAAGCAACATTTCTCAACAGCTCCACACCACAAGCTCCCTCAGAAAGCTCCTCGCCCTACAGGAACTCTGAGCAAGCTTCGCCCGACCTAGTATCTCTTTAACACTGTGCTGTGCAACAATATATATATACGGGAAACACATTGTGACTTTCTATTCTACCTCAATCCTGAGTGTTGGATATATTACATGTACATACGTTGTGAGGCCAAACAAGAGACCCTGACAACCTGCCACAACAGTACGCTACAACTCTAACTCTAAAGTTATTGAATATTCTACCCAATGGTTAGAGTTGAAAACACATTTTGGTATCGCAAAATCGTCTGAAAGGTGCTATACATCAGAAATTTTACATGCCATGTAAACCGATCTTTTTTTTTTCTTTCTTTTATCCTCTTCACCACTGATTGGCTCGTTAGCCGCTTGGGCGATTGGTCACGTCTCTAATTACGTTTCCTTTTCTTTTATCCTCTTCACCAAATGATCGGCTCGTTAGCAGCTTGGGCTATCGGTCACGTCTCTGTTACGCACTGTTGGCAAGTACTGGGCATGCAGCGGCACTTGAATGTACCTGAACCCGCTCCAGTGTTGGTCAAGTCTTGTTTTGAAAGAGCCCACACTTGGTGCCGTCACAACACTCACTCCGAAAAAGTTTGCCCTCACAGTTTTCTGGACTTGTGGCTTCTTCAATCTTGAACTGTGACCCCTT